TCGACGCCTGGATCTGAAATTATTTTCAGTATATGTTCTGTATATGTTCGGTATATATTCAGTATATATATATATATATATATATATATATATATATATATATATATAATTCCAGAAAATAGTATATGTTCGGTATACATATATAATTCCAGAAAATAGTATATGTTTTGTATATGTTCGGTATATGTTAGATATACATATAAATCCCAATATATACATATAAACATCAGATTGAAAAAAAAACCCAAAAATATACTACATATATACATAAACCAGTTTCAAAACGAAGATAATACATATTTTTTCGGATATATTAATTAGTTTATATACTAAATATATACGCAATATATACTGCGTGGAATTGGAATGGAAAGAAATTGACACGCAATATACCCGTAATTGAAAATCCCATCATTTGAGGAGGTGGTTACACTAAATATGGTAACTGAAAATATTCTGTTGTAGTGTATACGTATAATTAATTAACATGAAATTGGTATACTTGCAAATAAATATTGACACCTAGTAGAATTATAATTTTTTCTAAATCATGTACTATAAATAAAAATTCCCCATTCTTCTATATCTTAAGTATCAATCAAGTGTAATCAATTGTTTAGGGGTGATTGGTAAGCAGTCATAACCAATTAAAATCAGCCATAATTTGATCCAGAGTTAAAGTAAGATATCTATATTTAGAGAAATGCTCACCTATCCACTGTGGGCACATGTTAATATACCCACCGTGTAGGTGACATTACATTCATTGGTGATATATTTATTTAAACATATTAACATTATCAATGAATGCATGCCACCTACGCGATTGACATATTAAAATGTGTCCATTGTGGGTAGGAGAGCATTTTTATCTATACTTATATTAAAAGCTATCATATTTACTAAAATTAGTAGCAAAAAATAGGTCATCATTTAATGCATCCCATAAATAGTAATTTTATTATAATTATTAAAAATCATACAATTTAATTTATAAATACACTTTAATATAACCATACAATTCAATCATACAATTTAATTTATAAAATTATACAATTTAACTTTTTCTTTAAAAATACGCTTATATATATATGGGGTTTTTTTTGTAATAAATTTGAATAAAATGTGTTACTTAAATATCTAAACAATTGAAAATTCAAATGGTTAAATTAATTGATAAACAATTTATAAATCTCTATTTTATTTAAAATAATTTTAAATATAGCAAAAAATATTTAGAAAATCATATCGATCCTACCAGTTCAACCAACTGGTGTTGACGGATTCAATAGCAAATATTTTATTCAAGTGAACTAGACTGATTATAAACTGGTTCTCGGTTTATCTGGTCGGAATGTGTCCAACACGGTTTAATTTTAAAATGATGGGTAAATCTTGATTAATTTATTTATATATTTAATTTATAACACAATCGTAATATTGTTTTCTCGTGCATCGCACGGGCCACGCACTAGTTTTGAGAAAAAGTTGATTGAGTGTGATGAGAAAAGATGTAATTAATATGATGATTAAAGTTGAAGAGATGTAAAAATAGGAGGATGATGAAAATGGTAGGTAATTAAAAATATGTGAATAAATGAATAATGAATTAAAATTAAAACGATGTATGAGAGATGTGATTGATATTATTTAATTATTTTGGTAATATTAAAAATAGTGGAGTTGCATTAAATTTTGAGTTACAATGAGTAAAAACACGGATTCAAAACTATTTTTTTTTATCATTTTTAACTCTTTACCAATCACCCCCTTAGAGCATCTACAATGCATTGAGTTTAGTCTTGCCTATGTGGCATGTAAATAAACTCAAGTCTTTGATGACATGAATAAAATTTTTAGAAATTGATAAAATTCACTCCAATGCAAGGAGACTAGGAGCTTGTTTGGAAACACTTTTCAAATGAACTTTTGGATGCAAAAGTCCATTTGGATAAATATTTATGTTTGGTGCTAAGTTAAGAATGGACTTATGGATAAGTTGTATCTCTAAAAAGTCCATTATGTAGAAGTAAATGATAGAGACTTATGGAGAAGTCCATTTTGGAGAAGTCCATATTTTAAATGGACTTTTTGAGAAGTGTTCCCAAACAAGCACTAGGTCTCTACTTGGGTCTAAAATAGACTGAAGTGTAAACCGGGTATTTTTTTCTTTCTGCCACATCAGCCGGACCCAGTCCACTTTGTCCACTTTTGTTTGCATTGGAGAATAAAATTTTTTAGACTAAGTCTATTTCTTACGTAACATACAATTTATTGTGATTGAACCCAAAACATTGTGAATGCACGTATGAATATCTCTCTACTAATATTAAATAAATCATATCTTTCAGAATTTATTTTTTTTGAATTTTTTTTTTAAAAAAATGTTTTCGAAGATAAAGATTAGATATGAATTTTCAACTTACAATCAATTCTTGCAGTAACTAAAAGTATGAACAAGAGCGTCACCGGTCATACGAACAATAAACCTTAAACAAAGGAGTTGCATATGAAGCATAAAAATTGATATCAATGTTTCTAATTATACCTTGTTTTTTCAGGGTGTTTTAGATACGAGATTTTCATATTTTTCTTAAAAGACGGCAACCAACAAAAATCTCAATAAGTGCTATCATAAGATAGGCTGCAAGGGTAAACTCTTGAGGTGGTAACGAATACAAGCATACCACACAATGCATTTTTTTTTTTTTTTTTTTTTTTTTTTTTTTTTTTTTTTTTTTTTTTTTCAGTCTTTTTCTTTTATTTGTTCAGGGGACGTCTGACAAGAGCGTGCCCAGAAGATAATTTACATCTGAAGGACTTGATCACGGACATTATTCGGATATGCTTTTGATCTTGATTTGGATTTTGATGTAGTGAAAGCTATACGATTGGGAAGGATAAACGAGAAACTCTCTCGTAAAACTCACAAAACTCACAATATCTTATTTCATTCAATATTCAACTATCTCATAACAAAGCAGAAAGCCCTTTAAATAAGGCTCCTAACCTTATTCCTAACTTGTCCAACAAGACAAGATCACTTATAAAATTAAAATATCTTAACTTATTCTCCAAGATACCTATAAAATAATAAATTATTATTATTATTATTATTATTATTATTATTATTATTATTATTATTATTCTACACCATATTTCAATCTTTCTTTGACTTGTAAACTGCTGAGTCAACAAAACAACGTAAACTTTCCCTCTAATCAAGACAATATTGGAGGCCTAGTAACTCTAATAGGGCTTCTGTTTGAGGGTTCCGGCAGTGTCCTGAGAGAAACCAAAAAGGGTTTAAACATCAGATCATATTAATCAACAATAAGGTTTGTGACTCCAGATACTAAACAGAAGCTCCCTATAGTCCTAGTCATCTTTTAAACCAGAAAAAAACTAACTAAAAATATGCAATAGTATAGAATTTGATAATATCAATGATAATCGCCAGAGCTATCTTAAACAAGAAATATAGGAAAGATAACGTAGTGTGACCAGGAGATCATGAAATGGTGGATCAAAGGACCAAACGAATGCAAAAGAACTTCCGTAAAAACTATTGGAGTTCAAGACATCACTTGCTAAATAAAGTAGCTGTCATGAAACACACAATACTTGAGAATGCAAGTACAATCCTAACGACTTTGGATCCTGAACTGCAACCATTTGCAGATTTTGGATTTGCCATTGTAGCCTTAAGTATGTCGCATTTTCTCCAAATTACTGTAGTAGATTTATCTATAACTACATATTTCATTTCAGAAGTATCATTAAATTAGAATAGAATGAAACATTTAGGACTAAATTTAATCCACATTCATGAGGCTATGCAGAAAATTCAATAGGAAATGCTGTATAGGCAAACTGTACGCACAAAAAACATTAGAGTTAACCAATTAAATAGCATTAGCATAACAACCTCATAATTCTACTTAGGTTCAAATCTTATTATTCACATAAATTTTATACTCATACTCGATTAATGCTGTTTCTAAATTTTTGAAGACTCATGCACCAACTATAATATTACTCTCATGATAAACAAGAAAAGAAAGCTAGCCCTGTCAAGCTTATCATACTCACCAGAAGGAAAGTTGTCGGCTGCAGATCGAGAAGATTTATGACATGGAGCAGTTCTAACAAATTCAAAAGGTTTTCTGCCTCTCATTTGCAGCTTATTCTTCACAAACAGGCGGCACTCTTCCATATTGAGCTTAGCATCACTAGAGAACAAATGGAATCACCAGATACATATGAAATCATGGAAGATGCATACAGTAATGAATTACAACGATTTTAGAGGAAATTGATGCAGAATTGCAGATACCTAAAATTTGGCCGCGCTTCAGTCCGAGGGAAGATTGGGTTGAATTTCTTAGTTATTGCAAGCCATTCTTCATCATACTGGAGACTGTGGGGCCCTGTTTCTGATTCAATTTCGATAACCTACAATGTTCAAGAGTTAAATAAGCAGATAATTGGTTTTAGCAGTAACTACGAAAGTAGCACAAATTAGCTATTAAAATGAGTACCAACCTGCAAAAATCTTCTTCCAGGAAGACACTTATCAAGGGCAAGAAATTTCGTCGTCGGGCCGTTTTCTCCATGTTGGACGAGAGCAGAAAATTTGCAATGTAAATGTGCAGAAAACCAGTATGAAGGCCTCAACTTAGCCATAAGATCTCTTGCAGCAGGATTTCCCAATGTTCCTTTTTCAATCTGGATGACAAGTTTCACTAGTAACAACACTGAGGGAAACAAGAAAAGAGCAGTAATCACCTCAAAGACACATGACAATACTAAATGGCACCACTAATATTTAATATGCCTATATTTGTAAAATATCTCGATTGCCGGTATTTTAACATAGTGAAAATGCTTAGGGAACAATAAATCGAAAAAAAAATTGCTCTATCCCTTCCATTACCTTGGGGTCCTAGGGATGCCAAATCAAAAAAGTACTGAAGCAGTAAAAAATCTAGTAAAAGTCCTCTACATCAATGATGTGAAACTACCAACTTTCAGATGTTAATTTCAAAAGCTATGGTGTAGAAGTGCATAAAACTAACGTTTCTTCTCATATTTCTTTCAATATGAAATCCACCATAACCCAAGCTAGATAGATGCTACATTTGAGAATAATAGTTCACATTCTCTTCTTTTTCATTTAACTTTTTTCAATCACCAGAGGGGCATTGAAAAGATCAAGCAAGCTGCAAGAAGTGATATAATGCTCTGCTTCTAGCAGTAGATATATGAAATTCTACATGGTCCAAACAATTAGGGGAACACCTGCTTGGTTCTCAGGCATATATAGCCATATTGATACTTTCTCCATCTAAACCTAGTGAAATCAATGCATGCATAAATTACTAAATGATACCTCTTGTTCAAAAAAGTGTTTTCGGCGCAAAAGATTTTGTGAATTTCCATAATCAGTAATACCACGAGGCCAATCATGAGAAAGAAAAATATCTATTGGCTCCTGAACTTGCATAAGCTTTTTCACATCATACTCGCGAACCTGATATATGGACCGGATGTCTTGGTCAGTGTAAGGTAGCTTCTCATGGTGTCCTGTAAAGTTACCCAACATGTCATGATGAGGCACAAAGAATTTTTTCTTTTTCTTTTTTTAACAAAAAAAAAAAAAAAAGAAAACTGGAAATATAAGTTATGAGAACCAGTGTTTTGAGAAGAATATTGATTACTTTATGAATGGAATATCTGTTTTGAATTAAATTCGCTACTTCTTCATATTGAGGAGATTACTTGTCAGAACAAAAATTTTTATTTTTAAGGTTGTACTTATAAGTTATGATGCAGTCATTGAACTAACTCTTACATGCTACTGAATGCCACTTCATCTCAGATAAACTTTTATTAGAAATATATCCGTCATTCATTATTCAAATAAACTAGGGATTATACACTGGCAACCAGTAGCAATCAACTCTCACGAGAATGAGACTCCTGATCATTTCTAATCTTGTGTATGATAACGTGTACAAGAGTTCTAAAAGAAAATCAAACAAAAACAACAGTAACATGCTGGAAGAAAATTCCTTAAAACAAATAAAGTTTCAAATATTACCTAAACTCTGACAATGTTATTAGGGCATCCACAACCCAAATACACAATTCCCATTCACTCAATCAAAATATAACACTATCTCTCATCCACATCATCTTTCCACTAAATTTAAACACACACCACATTCCTACTCATTCATTTAAATACATATATAGGACCCACATGTTTAAAATAAAAAAATAATAAAAAAAACTTAAAAATATTGGTTGAACGCGTTCAGCCAATTGAACGCACCAATGGGCTCCACATGTTTAATGGACGGCCACAATGCATTGAATGCCAAATTGGCATTTAAACGGGGTGTTTGAACGCCCCATTGCAGGTGCCCTTAGTATTGCAATTTATGGAAACTTTATGAATATTTTAATAAGAAATAGTTAAAAGAAATAAAGAAAGGGGTAAAGAAAGAATGCTGGAATGATAGTACTCTCTATGCAGCACTGAATGTAACCAACCAAGGAATTAGTACAACAATTACCGGAATAATAATGATGTGAATTATAAATCCCAGAAAGTCCACCAATACGAACATTTCCAAATCTAACAACTCCTGCAAATCCGAGAAAGAAAATTTGTGGCGCTACCCACCCACCATAGTATCTGCCACAATAAATAATATTAACATCAAGAAGCAATCCTAATGTTTCATTCTCTTCGAAACAGCAGGAAAACGGGTGTCCGCTGAATGTAATTAGAATTTATTAATTCAGACGCCTCCAACACCCTCTTTTCAAATTAATGGGATGGTAAATCTATATGTTTGTGCCAACAACCTATGCAAGAAATCCAATTATGTTGTCAATGGTCATTGAAGTTTCAATTCTACATAATCAATTGTCTTCAATAAACGAATATATGTCAGTGCGTTTGCATGTATGTATATTGACATGGTTTTCACATTTCAAATAACAAGGTCCTGGAGCAAATGGCCAGCTTGTGATTTTCCTTTAATTCTATACAGAGATTAGAGACATACAGACACACTATCCTTTATGAGATGGGGAATACAGTTTTTTCAATTCATTATGTTTTGTTGAAGCAAAAATACATAAGAAAAAATGATGAATTCAAAACATAAGAGAGAAGATTCCAAACTATCAAGTATCAGTATTACTATAGAAAGAGCAGACTCACAACTCCCAAAGATAGTTGGATGCTTCGTGATTCCCGCCAATGAATATAGTTGGAAATGGTGCAGCTTTCTCCCCAGAGTAATACTTCCAAAAGGAATTCATAGTTCGATACATGGGTGGCACAGCTAGGCTCTCCAAATCTGTCTCATTTCGAACCGCCTGATTGCAAACAAATTAAGCAGGCAACTATAGTCTAGGATTTTGACAAAAATACCAGAAAAAGATTATTGACAGAAATTCATCAAGATATATAGTTTTTTACTGAAAATTTCATTATATTAGAGTGAGTAAGGTGCCTAGATACACATCAAATCGAAACTGGATTCCAAAGCAATTTCATTCCTAATGGAAAACAGGATGCTGGTTTAAAGATATCAAGTCCACTGATACCCATATTAAGCCGATCGATCAAACAACAACAAGGAAGTATTTATTTTATTGCATGTGTCAACTATTACACATTCTGGAATTGGCCTGAAAATTCATCATGCAGATTTAGTTGAAACAGTATGTTTTGATAGAAATCACTGCATGATTATTATAAAGGAAATGGCCTCCATTATGCTTTCGTACAAACTATACTTCCTGATTGTGCCGAAAATATTCAAACTCGGGGGAAGTCAATAGGGCTCAAGTTTGGAATTTCCTACTTCTGATAGAATGAAATTAACAAGTACTTTGAACAATGAAATGCTATGATGCATCTTATAATCATCAATTATACTAAAGTTGATTCACCAGACTTGTTCAATATTTGTCATCACATGTCACTTTTCCACGGATTTCTTTCCTCACATCTCCATGGATTCATTTAAGTATACATAAACCAGAATCATAGAATAAGCCTAAGAAAACATATAGTAAACAGCCAAAGTAATCAAATAGGAAAAACTGCAGAATGTTAATTTACCTGAAAGTCCCCACAACAGATGAGAAGATCAATCTTGATTCTTTCAACTTCTTGCAGGTGCAACAGAGTAGCGTATACATTATCCAAATCGCCATGCATGCACCCTTCTACAGCTATTTTCATCTAAAATTATATATTTTTAATCAGAAACAAAATAAACCGGCCTCCAAACCAATAACAATGATTTAATAGTGGCATTTACACACGCTTACAAGCATGGGATATTCAAAATTGTATACTAAATAAGCTAAAACTCCAATTTCATAACTCCATCAGCAAAAATTTTCATAACATAAGGATCAAAATCATAGGGACGCAGTCAATCTCGTGTTGGGCACGCCCCACACCGGCCACACGCATTGCAAACTCGCCTTTGAGTCAAGTTATATCATAAGGTCTACTATCAAGCCTCGCTCAAGTTAAGTTCTAGATAACATATGCTCATATTCATCATGGAAAGTGACAGATTAGCTCGAAAAGACATTATTAGATAACCTTTTTTTTTTTTTTCTGTTATTAACAAATTCCAGCTTTATGGAAGTGAATAAATAACACAGACGGTGATCTTCTATGCAAGCGGAATACCTTCTGAAACTAAATAAAGCATCTCTTTTATCCAAACAATTACATTAAGCACAAAAACAATTACATTAAGCACAAAAACCACAGCATCGTGAAATATTAAGCACAAAAACTGATTCAGAGTTCACAAATTCCGTGACCCGTGAAATTCAAATACCTTACTGACGGAATCCGCGGTCGGCTGAGAACGGCGGCCGGAGGTAGAGTACGGGCAGACGGACAACCGGAGCTCAACAGGGCTGAATTAGAAATCAGCAAATAACAATTGACTAGTTAACATGAAATCTATTAATATATAATAAGGATTAACATAATTCACTTTTAGAAATACTTTCCCGCCAATTTCATTAATTATTGCCTAAAAATAGTAAATTAAAAAAAATCTCTATTTATTAGCATATATTTTTTTATCCAATTTTTTTTAGGAATACAATAAAAAATATAGAAGCAAAATCAAAATAAATCTAGAGAATACACTTACCATACTTAATACACTTAATTTAAGAAATACACTTACCATATGTATTTAAAAAAATAAAATACAATATAAGATATTTAATTAATAATTGTCAATTAAAGAT